TGGTGACTGGGGGGGGGGAGGGGGGGGGCTTTGGAAGGCACAGGAAGGGAGGCAAAGCCTAGCCCCTTTCAACCCAGGACATGCGTTTGTTTGGATTGCTGATAGTTGTTCAGATGGTGATATCAGACGAAGTTTCTCAAAAAATCACAAACGAAAGCAAAACTCAGCTTGCCAGGAAAACTACTTAGGTAAAATTGTGGGCCTAAAAGTAATATGGGACAAATGTATATGACATTTTAATTAAAATCACATCATTATTATCTTTGCATTATCTCTCAGTTAGAGCAAAGGGGAGAGAGGAGGCAGGGGAAGGGACCTAAAAAGCAGCTGAATTGGCCCCCTCATTGAAGGCATTGGAAAAACTGAGCCCAGGAGGAAGTGACTTGCCCAAGGTCAAGCAGCCTCCCAGAGAGGGTATAGCAAAGCCAGAACAGGCTCAGGTTTCCTGCCCACCAGTCCAGAAAACCACCCCACTGTATCTCTATATGAGAACATTTTGAAATGCCATCTACAGCAAGTGAGTAACATTACCACGAAAGACCGGTTTTCCGGTTGAGCTGTGTGCTGGTGAGTGATTTGGGTAGTGTGACAGAATATGCCCAGCACAGAGCATGGGTAAATTTCAGGCTTGCTGCGTTGGAACTCTCTTCTTGGATATGCTCATCACTCCATAACCTCTGGAAAAGAAGGGATCTTGATTTCCGAGTTCCAGGAGCTAGGAAGCCACTTAGAGGGCCCACACACGACAATCATCCTGCCTCATGTCATCCCTTCTTTCTTATAATGGCCAACCTGTTTCCTTTATTTGTGCTCTAAAAGAAAGGTTGGGGGAGAGAATATTTCCAGCCCTGAATCTGTGTTCTGTCAATACGAGGCTTGTGTTAGGCCCAGAGAAGGTGCGATGCTGTTGATATAGTGAAGGCCTTGGGGCATGATCACATCGATCTGCTGGCTGACTCACATTTAGCAGAGGGAAAGGGGAGAAATATAAGAGATTTTCCCAGTGGCCAGTAAATGGTATTTGCATGTGAAATATATACAGAGGTGGGCAAAAGTAAGTTTATAGCTGTGAGTATATGAAATAGTTCATCCTCATATTATTTACTAATTATTGTATTTATTTGTATTATTATTTTGTATCCTTACTTATGACTCATCGTTTAGGTAATGATGGCTGGTAATTTAACCTATTTTTGCCCACCCTGTATTTTCCTTTTGGATATCAGGCTTAGGGGATGAGAGAAGACGTTTGGGCAACCGCCACAAACGCAGCCTAAGACTGGTGGGTGCTGGCATGGTTGGGGCCTTCTGGTCTCTTCCACGGAGTTGGAGATACCTGTTTCCCTGCTTTGTTGTACTTGACAGTTGACAAAGCACTTTTTAGTCCATTGCGACATGTTGTCATTACATACAGCCTTATGATTTAGAAAGACTTTGGTGGGAGGACGGGGGCAGAGACAGGACTCAAGTGGTCAGTGCAGGAGACATTCGACGGGGCCCTGGGCTACTGGGGGCACAGGGTATAGGACAGATGAGCTTTCTGGAAAATAGTACCTCTAGAGCAGGGGTGGGGGACCTTTCTCTGCCAAGGGCCATTTGGATATTTATAACATCATTTGTGGGCCATATAAAATTATCAGCTTAAAAATTCGTCTGCTATATTCAGTCAAACATTTAATTAACTCACCCCTAATGCCTTGGCAGGGCCAGACCAAATGATTCTTGGGCCTTATATGGCCCTGGGGCCTGACCTTCCCACCCCTGCTCTAGAGAGACAAGGCCGGGCAGGGAGCTGAGGCCAGGAGAGAACCGCATTTTCTTTCTCAGCCACAGGCGACAATAAGATTTCCAGAAACCGGAACAGAGGGGACAATTTGGTGTAGCATATTAGTAATCCAGAGGATGCATCTTTGGATATCTTTGCAAAGAGGAAAGGTCCTTCTTCATGGTGAGAAGCTGGGGGGGGTGGGGTGGGGTGGGGAGGAGGAGAATCAGGAGATGAGATCTCACTGAGCAAGAAGGTGATTGAGCAGGTTCTAGGAAAGACATGGAAAGGTGGTGGTCGTAGTCTCTCCTGGGCTGAGGCTGGGGCTGCTTAGTTCAGCGTGCAGTGCTTTGGGGGGGATTTCCTGGAAAGCCCTCGGCAAGGGAGACCAGGCCTGTGACTGAGGGCCCTTGTAGAACTCTGGACTCCGCATCGCTTTTCCTCCCTAGTTAGCTTTGCTCTGTGCTGTCTGTATTGTCATCAGCATCACATAAAACCCATGGCCTGAACCAGGTTCAGGGGCTGCTTGGACGAGACATTCTGTGAGGAAGAGAAAAGAACCTCTCCTTTTGCAGGGCCGGACTACCATGGCCAGCCTTGACTGAAATGCCAGAGGAGCAGGGGAGGGGAGCTCTGTGTGACGTGCTGGTGTGTGGCCGCCTGCCTGACCCCCAGAGGCCTCCGAGAAAGTGCCAGAGTGTTACTGGCTTCCCGAGGAGATCGCCACGCTGTGCACGTATCACACATGGGCCTCACCACGCTGGGCTCCCACAGTCACAGGGGGCCCGGTAACCGCGTTCAAGTAGTTGACATCGTTGTCCGGGGTGGCTCTTCCACCCTCTGCACCCTCCTCACCTGCCCTCAAAGTCTGGCACCTGGGACAGACCTAGATGGCGTGTCTAGAAGTACCTGTCATCAGACAGGTGGGAGGAGTCTCAGCTTACTTTCTTTGTGCCTGGTGAACCTGTGTTGATGGTAGTCAGACAATACAGTCAGGGGTTTAAACCACCCAATTTCCAATGACCCCAACTTGAATTAACCTTCAAATATTTGAAGAATAATTGCATAAATGAACTTTGACTTAAGTATATTTTATTGGCAATGTCATGGAACCCTCAGAGGGTCAGCACATTTTCCCGTTTTCTTTGGTTGCTGAATCAGAGCTGGGTTAACTTTGACCACTCCCGGTGACTACCTCTGGGCAGCCAGGATACCTTTGCGGACAGCCCTGCTCTGTTGCAATCAGGTGAATTTAGAGGAATCTGTGGCTGTCCGTGTTTTCCCAGGCCTATCTTTATTGATGGTTATTAAAGACACCACCACATGGCCATATGAAAGTACAAAGCAATTCCCAGGGTAAGGTTCGTGGGAAGAAGTGAGATACTGAGCTCCCAAATAATTCTACTGTAATCGCAGTCTGCCATATCTGTGTATAGTTAATAAGTAAGACTTAAGCAGGCAGGTTCCACCACTGGGCAGCAGATGCAACGGCAAAAGAGGCCAGTGGGAGATCCCAGGTCCTTCTGGAAACCGGGAAGGGAACTAAAAAGGAGGACAGCTTGGACAGGAGAGTCTGGTGGGCAGTTGCTGAAGCGGGCAGATCCCCGTGAGGAGGCTCATGGCTTACCTCTGCGTGTGCCCTCACTCTCTTTATGCCACCCCTCCTGGAAGAGTGCATGACCAAGAAGTAGAGAGTAATCATGCCCAGACACACTGAGTTCAATAGGTGTAAAGACCACACACAAAACCACCTGTTTTTATCGAGCACCCCACCACACCTGCTGTTTTACAATGGTGAGTGATATTGATAAAGGGGGCTATAAAGGCGAGGTGAAATGGCCTCATATTTAAATAGCACCTTCCTCTGTGAACTTCAAGTGTTTTACAGCTGAGATTTGACTGACCGGGTGATCATTCCTTATAGGAATGTTGACCACATATCTCTATATCTGTTCAGAAAAGAAACCGTAGCAGGTGGCTAAAAAGTAAAGACTTTGAAGACTGACCGCCCTGGTTCACGTCCCAGCTTGTTCGCTTTCTAGCTAGGTGACATGACCATTCTGTGCCTCAATTCACTGACCGGTTACGTAGGGAGACATTCATGTTGCCTTATAGGTTCGTTATGAGAACCACTGTATATAATGTGCTTAGAACAATGCCTGGCATATTGTAAATACAACGTAACTTTTCAGCTGTTTTTAGCATTGCTATATACCAGTATGTGTCTTGGACGAGTAACATAGGTACCCTCATTCATCTGAAAAAAGTCACAAGATGTTAATATTCTCAAAGACATGGACAGCCACTGTGGTAAATTGGTCCATGAGTATTTGACAGAGCAGAAGCGTCAGCCAGTGTTTTATGAATCTCAGGAGGTGGGAGCAGGAGAAACCTAAAAAGGGATCTGGTTTCTTCTCCTTTCCCAGGGAGGAGGGTCTCTACCACCCTAGCACTGTGGTTGCGGCTTTGTCTGCGGCCCATGTAGAGCTTGGTGTGGCCAGGCCCTGATCATTGCAATGAGCCTCAGGCCCACGGAAAGCAGAGTTCTGGTGGAGGCAGGGGCATCAGCAAGATGTGTGGGTGACTCCTTCCCCCCGCCCAGGAAGGATTGGGGTGGCTGCAGAGGGACACAACCCAAAAGAGTAATGTGAACAGGCCCTCCAGGGACCCCAGCCGCATTTATATGAGATAAAGATTGGTGGGGAAGATGACTGTCTGAGGTCTTTCCTGCTCCAGCAGGTTCTTGTAGATGAGCGTATAATTTGTGGTCCAAACTGGGACACGCTTGAGTGTCAGGAGGTAATGCTTTTAACAATTATGTCAGGACAACTGGCATCAGCTGGGACATGTGGCCATCCCACTTCTGTGGGCCCAGGACGGCATCTGCTAGTTTCTTCATCCATCTCTTCCGTTATCTTTTCGTCAGGGATGCTTCCTGAGAAGAAATATTCTTCCCCAGTCACTGATGTTTTAGCATTTCAACATCTGTGGAAGGTGATGCCATTGATCTGCCTTCCATAGAGGTAGGAGCCCCGTTTTTGAACCTAGAGTATAAAGGAGAAAGCAGGGTCAGAGGGAGGCCGCCTGGTGGTTGGACGGTTGTGCTCAAGGTATGCTTGACATGACGGCTTCTTCTTCGGTTAGAGTGTGTGTGCTCTGAGCTTCCTCCCCTACCAGTTTGCACCCAGATTGTGGCTACCGCATAGCAGTGCTACCGAGGACTCTTGCACCTACTTACTATGGCTGAGCACATCTGTTTTTCTTAGGCAGGTGAATGTGGAAAAACGAGTGCTAACATTTGAAATCCAAGCCATTGTTTCATAGCCGAAGGAAGACCCTAAAGGAAGGAGCATTTTCCCACATGAAATATTTGCCCTTTTAGCCTTGAAGTTGACTAAAACTTTAATAGGAAAAAAAAAAAACACCCAGAAAATTTTTTTCCAAATAGGCCAAAGTCAAGGTTTATTCTTTGTTAATTCCCTTAAAAAAAAGAGAGAGAGACAAAAAGAAAAATGGCTCCCTCGCCTGAGTGGTCTTCTATGTGCCTATTTAATGATTAATAATACCTTGTGGGCTATTGTTTGATGTGGCCTCTGCTGGTTTGAACAGGAGAATACTGATTCACTTGTAAGGCATTTATGAATCACGAGTGTTTACCCTGAAACAATAAATGAGAGGGGGAGATGAAAAAACACCCAAATATGCTGAATTCTTTGACTAAAAACTGTAGATAACCCTGTGTGGGGTCCACCACTTTCTCTCGGAGAAGAAAGGTTGTGTACAATGACCAAGACTGGGGCTTTGGAGTTTTGTGGATTTTTTTCCTTTCACTTACTGATAGGGTTGAGCCAACTTTCTCACTCCGTTTCCGTACCACATGCATTCATTTTCTTCTGATCTGTCTTTTGACTTGTAATCCAGAGGGGAAGCTGGAGCCCTGCCTTAACTAAAGTGGGGCTGGTGGGCTGAGAGAAGGGATTCAAGAGGCTACGAGACCTGCCAGGCCTCAACTGGACCATGATGGGGAAGGAGGAGTCAAAAGATGACGGCTGGTTTGTTGTCTGAACTATGTGGACCCTTCTTCCACATTCCACGTTTAATAATAACTCCTAGACTTGTTTCCCCTTCTTCCTGCCCCAACGCCTAGAGTTCAGTGAAAAAAGACTTCCAAATTTGCCCCAATGATGCTTAAATATATTTTTATATTTTGAGATAATTTTAGACTTATAGAAAAGTTGCAAAAATAGTACGTAGGGCTCATTTAACCCTCGAACCAGCTTCCCCGGTGTTACCATCTTATACAATGATGGAGTGATCATTAAAACTAAGGAAATCATCTTGCTCCAATCCTATAACTACAGACTTAATTCAGATTCCACCATTTTTTCCATTAATGTATTGTGTTTTCTTTCGGTTCCAGGACCCCATCCAGGCTTCCAAAGTGTGTTTAGTTATCTTATCTCCTTCATCTGCTTCACTCTGTGGCAGATCCACCATCTTTCCTTGTCTTTCATGACACTTTCAAGAGTCCTAGTCAGTTGTTTCATAGAATGTCCTCCACTGGGGTCCGTCTGCCATTTTCTCGTGGCGATATTGAGGAGCTGCATTATTGGGAAGAACACCCAGACGTACCTGATGTTGTATTTCACTGCCGTTAAACATGATCACAAGGTTAAGATCGTTTCTCCAGGATTGTCTATGATCAAGTTACGACTTTTGTATTTCTTAAAAGTTTTTTTGGGGTGTGTGTGTGTGTGTGTGTGATATTTCAAAGCAATGCAAATATGCTATTACGCTTGCACTTCTGCCTACTAAATCTATCAAAGGATCTCACCTGTGGCAATGAATATTGTGGCAATCTTAAAGTCATGTTATTCCCCTCATTCCTTCTACATTTATAAATTGCAACTCTTCTTAAGGAGGAGTTGCATGGTGTTACATTGTGGTAAAGCAGAAATAAAAAATAACCCATACTCTTGGAGCCTAAATTTTAGATGAAGAGATAGACAAGCAAAATAAATAAGTGGATTTGATAGTATATTGAATGGTGACAAGTACTGCAAAGAGAAATCAAGTAAGGGAGGGGAGATAGAAAGTGCCAGGAGGTGCAGGTTTAAATTGCATGGTTAGGGAAGGCCTTAGAGAGAAGACTTGAAGCAAAGGAGGGAGCCAGTGTGTGAAGCTTTCTCCAAAGAAGAAATAGCAAGTACAAAGACTCAGAGGCAGGACCACATCCAGCCTAAGTACTCTAAGGAAGCCAGGCGGCCAGAGTGATGGGTGCCAAGTGAGCAAAGTGGGAAGGGGAGTGAGAGAGAGCTGATGCAGGCCTGGGGACATTTTACTGACCTGGCTATTGATCTGAGGAAGGCAGGAGCCATTGCAAGATTTTGAGCAAAGAGGTCACATGATGTGACTTCATATTATTAAAAAATCTGCTCTGTGGTTGGCAAGGACAGAGGCAAGGAGACCCTGCTTAGGGAGCTATGACATCATCCAGGTAAGAGATGGAAGTGGGTTGGACCAGAATGGTAGCAAAGAGGTGATTGGATTGTGCATGTGTTTTGACAGTAGAACTAACACTGCTAAGAAAGGTCTTCAGCAGCTTTGGCCACCTCCTGAACGCCCAGGGCATGTATCTTCCCTCTCCCACCTTGAAGTGGGGCTCCAGGAACAAGATTGAGAAACACGGGCTGGCCACCTGGAGTCTAAGCTCTGCAGTCCCTCATTGGAGCCTTCTTTATCTGGGTCTACCTTCATTTTCTCTGCACCCCCACTTCTCTCTGCCCCAGGCCCACCTCTGCCCAGGCCAGCCCACCACCATTTGCTCACAGTCTCCCACCCCTGCTCTGCCAAACAAGATCCTTCCCCTCCTTTAAGGTTCAGCTTCGCCACCCCAGGCCCCTCTAGGAACACCTTCCCTCTTGGTTGTTGACACTAACTAGACTCTGCTTCACAGGTGCAGCCCCGGAGACAAACAGGCTCTCAGACACCCCTGCAGCTCAGGGACCCTGGAACACTGAGCCGGCACCGAGCGCTTGGTCGGTATGGTGCTTGGTTTGTTGGTATATGGCATACGGTGGAATGAAAACATGTTTCCTCTTAGTTATCCAAGCACATTTTGCATTATACTTCACATACATCCATACTTTTTCTTTTCATGTAAAAATAACTGTTTTTGCCTCTCCCTCTGCCCAATCTTTCAAGTAAAGTTAAAATTCCAGAATTCCTCTTGGTCCAATCTGTGTCCCTGGGGGTCCTGTGTATCTCAGCCTGAGAAGTCAGATGAGGAGTATAGGGAGAAACAGGCATCACTGAGCAGTCATTTACTGCTAATGAATTTTGTCTCTTTATCTACTGATTGACTGAATGTATAAAAATGCATCTGGTTAGAAATTTTAAGCAGTACAAAAGTAACCAGGGTTACCTTCTAGCCCAGTGGCTCAGTGGTTGAGCATCAACCTATGAATCAGCAGGTCACGGTTTGATTCCCAGTCGGAGCACATGCCCAGGTTGTGGGCTCAATCCCCAGTGTGGGGCAATCAATGGTTCTCTCTCATCATTGGTGCTTCTATGTCTTTCTACCTCTCCCTTCCTCTCTGAAATCAATAAAAATACATTTTAAAAAAGTAACCGTTCCATGGGTGGCCCCATCCCCCAAGCGGTGTCCCAGAGGCAGTCACTCTCACCTGTCCCTTATATACCCATTCGGAAGTGGCTAATGAACAGTCAGTGGCCGGTAGTAGACAGTCACTATCAACTGCAGGTAAACTGAGGCGCCGTGAAAACCAGCCCCGGCTCTGCACTTCCCGGGGCCGAGGCAGCTCCATGCAGAAGGGCTGGCTCAGCACAGCCAACCTGCCATTTTGATTGTTGTCTTTGGCTCAGACCACACAGGGGTGAGTTTGCAAAGACACCACACTCGGTGGAATTGGGCAGTTGGTACCACCTTCTTTGGCTCTGGTTTTGTGCCCTCACAGGGAGATTCGTTGTCATTGAGATTTCCCAGGTTGGCGGTCGTCTCTCCCTCAAAGTCAGCCAGGGGAACACGGCCAAAAGCTACATCAGGAAGAAAGGCCGGTGGGAGAAGGGGTGGAGGAAGCCAGCCCCCGAGCTGCGATTACAGCAATGCAGGGGATTACAGGGAGTTTCAGGGGGAGCTTTACCCCCCACCCCACTCCTGGGCTCACCTGAAAGGCGGCCCTCTCCCTCCACCTTTCCCGTGGGAATTCGGCGCAGCCAGCAGAACCCCTGAACTCTGCTGGGCCACTGCCAGCAACTTTTAAGCCGTTCCCCCTGCCGACTACCGTGACATGATGTCGTTTTTTATTGAGGCAAGATTAGATTTTTTTTTTTTTAAGTTTTCAAAAGTGTGGTTCACATGATCTCTGGTACTTTTCCTATTGCTTGAAGACCACAGAGCTGCCAATTTCAATTTGCTTCAGCTTTTATCACTAGGAGAAGCTTAAAAGAAAAAGAAAGGGGGAGAAAGGCTGGATGAAAATATTCCCCTGGGCCCTGGCAGTTAGTATGAGGGTGGCAGGGGACACACGCATCGCTCACTCCCTTTTGTGTAACTGGTGTAACAGGAAGATGTCAGGAGATTGAAGCTGGGACTGGCGGCTGGACAGCATACAATATCCTCTAGAACGAAGGGTTTTTATGCCATAGCCTGAAAGGGAACGTGCAGTGTGGAGTCAGTCACAGTAGCCAGGACAGTATTAAAGAGAATGCTGATCTATATGGAAATAGGTAAAATAAACTCAGAAAAGCTGTTCTTCCTCTTAATTCTAATTTCATTAATTCTTCTCTTTGGAGGCAAGATTTCCCATTCATTCATTCATTCATTCAACATATTTACTAAGCACATATTTACTATGTTGCTGGGAATGCAGGATGAATAAGGCAAAGTCCTATTTTTTAAGAAAAACTGAAGAATACCTATTTGCAGGGATCATGGTTTTTCAGATGCCAACTCAGTCCTCAAAATGGGTGGTGTGATGGAAAGTTAGGATAAACGTAAGATCGAATCCTATTGTTTTGGCATAAAATCAGAGAAAGCGGTCTGGAGGAGTAAAGGACATGCTGGGGAAATAAATGTCTCCCACTCCATCGGCATCTTGGAGGAGAAACAACATGTAAATATCACCACCATTGACTTTCAGATTCCTAACAGTCCGATGATCCCCACACGAACCTGTGCAGTAGGGAGGGGCAGCATTCATCACAGCTCTGCATTGCACCTGGCTCATGGTAGGTGCTCAGTCAGTGTTTGCTGAATGACTGTGGGTAAACCCCCAATTTACAGGGTGGGACAGGTTCAAGAGTAATCAGGAGATTGATCCTGAGTCACCTGGTAGTAAGTGGCAGAGGCTGGACTTGAACTCAGAGTACACACATCAAGGCCCATCATTCCTCCTAGAGGCACCACTCTCTAAAGATTTCTCCAAACTACTGCCCTTCCTTTGACTGGCAGGAGAGTGTCTCTGGAGTCAACATCCCCCAAGGTTGCAGTGAGTTTTTGGAGAGCAATTCCAATGGATGGAGGACAAATTGACCACAACTATAGACAGGACACGCCATGAACAGACCTGGTCTCCTTGGAAGTTTCTCCCAGGGTTGAGTTGGTTGGGTTAAGAAAGCTGGGTGTTGGCTGTTCTTTGGGTATAGACTCCTAAGCTGTCCCAAATTGAGGTGGAAATATTTTGTGGAAGTCTATGCATCTCCCCAACTTATTCTGCCTCGGTCAAACATCTGGATCAGAAAAGGCTGATTTTAGAGCAAACTTGTGAAGAAATCACTTCCAATTTGTGTCTCATGAACCTTGATTTTTCTCCTCCACTGAGTGGGGCAAGTCCCGGGGAGTTTTGAAGGATTCACCAGGGTTGTAGAGCAAGGAAGTCTAATTCCACTGTCTGAAAGGAACCGGAAAGCCACTGAGTCCCTTCCCTTGCCTCCAGGGACAGAGGATTACAGCACTGGATAGGCCCTGCCAGGGAAGCAGGGTGGGGACGAGAAGGAGCCTGCAGAAAAGGAGAGTCTGGATGAGAAGGAGACCAGGGGGTGGAAACCCATCTTCCTGTCCATTTTACCCCGAGAATATGAGGTAGTGTCAAAAGCTCTGGACTGGAAGTCAGGGGAGGATCCGAGTTCTAGTCCTGCCTCTGCCGTAGATTCACAGTGTATGTCCCTGAGGACCACACTCATTGCCTCCTCTCTGGGCCTTAGTTTCCCCATTAGTAGTCTCATGGTTTCCAACCAATGCCTGGGAGGAGTTTCCTCCCAGGGAGTGCGGGCAGGGCCTGGGGGTGCTGAGCAGGAGGGGCACTTGCAAACCCTCTCACCCTTCTACCAGAACCATTTGGCTTTTGCCTGTTCATACATCGCATATCCTCATACCATTTTGTTTTTTAAAAACAGTTCCATTGGTTTTTGTGTTTAAGTTTGAAAACCACCAACTAGATCAGTGGTTCTCAACCTTGGCTGCACATTAGAATCACCTGGGGATCTTTTTAAAATCCTGATTTCTGGGCCTCATCCTCCGGAAATTCTGTTTCTTTGTTACTAATGGGGGCCACAACATTAGTAACAAAGAAACAGAATTTCCGGAGGATGAGGCCCAGAAATCAGGATTTTAAAAAAACAGAATTCCGGAGGATGAGGCCCAGAAATCAGGATTTTAAAAAGATCCCCAGGTGATTCTAATGTGCAGCCAAGGTTGAGAACCACTGAACTAGATGCTCTCAAAAATTCTCTCCAGCTCTAAAATCTCAAGAGTATTCCCTGTGCCTCCCTGGCTTTTGAATTTTTTTCTCCTCTAACCTGTAGTACATTGTGCTTTAGCCACTTGAATGCTTGTTTTTCTTTTCCCAAAGGCTCCTTGCAGACAATTCCACAAATAATTATGAATATGTGGGACCTGTTTCAAAGGCCACCTGGGCCAGGTTACCTGGCTCTCAAACTGCTCATACTTAAGCGGTATAGGCTGGAGACAGTTGAACAAAGATTTACAAAACTAAACAGTTTTTCTTTGAATATTCTTCATCAATAACTGGGACCTTGTCTTATTTCTCTCACCCATAGCCAGTGTGTGTAGGACACTTAATAAGTGCTTAGTAAATATTTGCTGAAAGAATTGATGAATGAATTTCCATCTTTGGGGGGAATCACAGATGTATCCATAGCTAAGGGCCTTCCCAGGACTGAGTGGAGCTAGGTAGACTGTGTGGGCTCTGGGATTCCCTTTTATGAGCTGGGCTGATTACAGCTGTTGGGAGTTGTTACCTTTTATGGGTTGAATTGTGGTCCCCAAAATATATGTTGAAATCCTAACCTCCTGTACCTCATAATGTGACCTTATTTAGAAAGAAGGTGGCTGCAGATGTACTTGGTTAAGATGAGGTCATACTAGAGTAGGGTGGTTTTATAATCCAATCTGACTGGTGTCCTTAAAACAAGAGACACAGAGGGAGAAGTTGACCATGTGACGATGGTGGCAGAGATTGGAGTGATGCATCAATCTGGGAGCGCGTTTCACTTCCCCACGAAGAGCGGGGCATGCTTGTCTGAGTTAAACGTTATGCAGAGTCATTGTCCTTCTCTTCTCAGAAATGGTGCCCCTTGCTTCTGAGTATCTTCCCCGAGTTTTGTTTCATCCACCTGTCCTGGGATAGGTTTCCAGTTCTGGCTTCTCCTCTCGTGCCCTTGATCACAGAAATACAGCCCCCCTCCCATCCCCAAGGAGATTCAGGAATTTCATAGGACCCACCTCATTTCTGGTTACTGAATAACTGTTGGGGCATCGAATGTCAAGGCAAAGAAAACAGAAGGGCCTACGTGTTGGACCAAATTACCTCATAACCCAAGCTGTTCCCATGGTGTCTGCTTGCACTGTCTGTCAGCAACTCTTTCATCACCAGCCCCACTTACATCACACTGTCCTCAACACCCAACCTGATCATTGTCACCTGCTTACAGCACAGAGCACAGGAGCACAGGTGAATGGCAGCAGCTTAAGGTTTTGATTTAGCCTGGGGCAGTCTGGCAGGACGCAGGACAGGCAGGGCCTTTTATTTTCAGCTTTAAGAATGGAAGATGTGAATGGGAAAGGAATGAGGAGCTTATTGTGTTTTGATTCAAAACTCACCATTAACATCCCAACCTGGATTTCTAGCCCAAAGCTTTTCTCAGCAGTAGAGGTGGAGAAGGGCAACTCCCCCTGCCCCCTGCCACACACACACACACACACACACACACACACACACACACTCCTTCCCCAAATCTGACCTAGGACTTTCCTGCAGGAAGAGAAGGTCCTGGTGCCATTTCTCTGGCCTGGGAGCCACAGCAGCAGTGCCTGTGGATGGACGTCTTCGATCCACCCATCTTTGGTTTAGTGGAGAACCAGACGTGCTCCCTTAGGCTGTATGTGTGGAACTGCTTTCCACCACTGGTGCTGACTTTAGTGTCTCTGAGAGGTTGCCACAAGGACACAGAATGAAAAATGGTCTCAAATAGCAAGTCACGGTTCCCTCAAGTTAGAGTTGGAAAAATTGGGAGGAATCTGAAAGGGCTGTATTTACTCGGTGTTGATGTCAAATTCATTCACTTGCTCACTCACTCATTGACTTACTTACTCATTGATTCAACAGACATTTCCTGAATACCCCCTAGAGGCCATGCACTGTGTGACGTGCTGGAGAAATAGAGACAAGGCCACAGTTCCGTGATACTAATGTGACTTGTGCCGAAGGAGAGGTATGTCCAGGGGGTGGATGGAGTCATGGGGAAGAGGACAGCTCAACCAGTGGCCTGGGGAAGCCCGGAGAAGAGTTTTAGTCCTGGGACTAAAATAGCGATTTTTTCAAAGCATAGGCCTTGGGTCCTCGGCATCAGAATGACCTGGGGGAGTTTGTTAGCGTGCAGATTTGCAGATTCCAGACTGCCACCCAAGCCAACGGAGCCGGAGTCTCCGGAGTGGCCCTGGGATATGCATGTTGAGTCCTAGGTACTAAGGTGTAGAATGTCCAATTCAGGAGCTTTAAAGCCTCTGCCTCACAAAGGATATTCCAGCGAGAACCAAGCCAGTGAGCACCCAAGTGAAGAAGGACGTCTGGCCTTGGGAGAGGCCCAGAGCTCCAGATAGTGACAATAAACTCATTGTTTTATATATATTTTTTATTGATTTCAGAGAGGACGGGAGAGGGATAGAGAGATAGAAACATCAATGATGATAATCATTGATTGGCTGCTTCCTGCACACCCCCTACTGGGAATCGAGCCTGCAACCCAGGCATGTGCCCTTGGCTGGAATTGAACCCGGGACCCTTCAGTCCGCAGGCTGACGCTCTATCCACTGAGCCAAGCCAGCTAAGGCTAAACTCATTTATAACTGAGACCACACTGAGGTAGAGCTGAGCAAGGGACGGCCTATTATATCTTTTTGCAAAATTTAAGGACAGAGCTCCATGTCGCATAACTGATCTTGTCTCAAAACTTTAGGAAATCGCTTTTCTGTCCCTGTCTCTTAAAGGAGGTTGTTTGTATAAGAAGGTTTGAAGACATGCTGCACAATTCCATTCCGAGGAGATTACGGGGGTGAATTGTTTATGCTGCCTGTTGCTCAGCCACCTGCTCTGGGGGATTAGCACTCTCCTTTGAGGCTCTGTTTGTGGGGGACCTGTGTGGTTCCTGCTTACAGCTCCAGGTAATCTTCCACTGTGGAGAGAGAGCTCCACCCCATTTCCAACAGTTCTTACTTCTCAACAAAAAACAAGAGGAAGGACAGTGAAGGGGCAGGCTGTGCGACACTTCCCATAATGTGCTGTTCTGTTTAGTGAGTAATAACAGTTGGAGGAAATCAAAGCTGAAAGTTGGGGTCCCCTTGCCATCCCTAGAGTCTCTTCCATGGCATTGCAGGTGTTGCTGGAGTTTGGGGTGAATAAGACAGACACAGCCCCCGGCCTCGTGGCGTTTATGATCCACAGGGAAGAGAAACCCGTTATGATGGAGTTCAAGGAAACGTGGTGAGTTATATTCATTCTCCCATGGTCCTCCATGCCTCAGAGACGGCACCTGGCCCAGGACTGGATGACTCCTTGGTACCTGAGATATCCTTGTCCTGCATTTATTCGTGCCTTCATTTGCAAACATTTGCTAAACCCCATGTTATGTGTCATGTTGAATGAATTGTATCCCACACTCTGTGCTAATAACCTGAGAGGCTGATAAAAAAAATAAATTGATCAAAAGCCTGGCCTATGCAGCTCAGTGGTTGAGCGTCGATCTATGAACCAGAAGGTCACAGTTCGATTCCCGGTCAGGGCACATGCCCAGGTTGTGGGCTCCATCCCTGGTGTGGGTCATACAGGAGGCAGCTAGTCAATGATTCTCTCATCATTGATGTTTTTCTCTCCTTTTCCCTCTCCCTTCCTCTCTAAAATCAATTAAAAATATGCTTTTTAAAAATTGAGTAAAATGCAAAACCTTGTCCTAAGGATCTGAGTCAAGTGAGAAGTCAGATGAGTAAACAAATTGCACCACCGCTGGGAGAATGGCTCAAGTGTACAGTCGTGGTCTGTAAAGGCCACAGGGGAGTGTGGGGTGGGGTCCAGGAAGGGCAGAGTGGTCAGGTGGGACCTGGATCTGGAAGCATATGCAGGAGGGTTTTCATTCTTTCAGTATTTCCCAGTCAAAAGGTGAGCTGATATCTGTTCATCACTCAGTCACTCAGTAACTGTGGATTGAATACCTGCAATGTCCTTAGTGAACCAGCTGGACGGATTGTTAGATCTAACCAATCAAACCAACAACTCTCTCCTGGAAGGTGACAAATTGCTGTCAAGCACTGGGGACCTTATAGAAGAAGTGGGAGAATCTGTCTCTTGCCCTCAGGGCATCTGCAGCTGAACTGAGATGGCCACATGTGTTCAGTCACCTCCAGAGCTCCTCTGTTTACAAAAAGGTGGGTCTGGCCCGCTGGCAACAGTGAGTTCCCTTCTGGGGGGAGGTGAGATGCCCTTTCATCTGGGTGAGGCAGTTTAAGTACAGCTCTTAAGTTTTGTAACAGAATGCCTGGTCTGTTGTCTGCCAGGTTGGTAGCTAAAGTATGAGCATCTATAGGGAGCTAATATATATATGAATGATAAAGTTTATTTTATTATGTTCATTAAAATATAAAAATACAGAAAAAAGGTGAAAGAAGAGAACTAATCTAATTATTTGATATTTTTCTTTCTTCCATGCTTTTACATGGTTATGATAATTGCATATGCATAATTCTATAATCTGTGTTTGCTGTTTAATGTTATAGCAACATAAACATTATTTCAAATGACTACATAGTTTTCTTCATTTATGTACCATGATTTACTTAATATATTTAAGTATAGAACTTTTAAAATATTTATTTTTCTTCAGATAAATTCCCAGAACTGGAATTGCTAGTTTAAGAGAGAAGCATTATTAAGACCCTCAGTACATATTGCCAAATTGTTTTCCAAAGGGCCATACCAGGTTTTATTTCCATAGTATATGGAGTGCATGAGTTTAATTCTAAATTGCCTGCTATTTATTCTTGCTGAAAACATAATGGAAATAATAAATTAAGCCCCATCCTTGTATGTGATTGGGTCCAGAGAAAGAAATAGGTTTGAATTATATTATATTTCTTTACTTTATATTGTAAATTAATACTGTGCCCTTAACTTTTATTATAGGTTATTCTAAAACAAAACAAAAAAGACACATTTGGCATCTTCTGCTAAACCATCATTGATGAGCCCATCCATTGTGTTATTCAGTGTCCTTTATAACAAGATATTCCTCTTCAACTTCAGCCATATTTCCATTTTCTTAAAATTGGATAATGGTACCTAGGCTACCAAGAAGCTCATAGTTCATATTCATGTTTTCTAGAAGTAAGGTCTTAAAACCATCTTTCAGAGTGATTGAGGACAGGCTTAAGGACCACTAGCCAAATACACATCAGAGTAGCAGCTTAATTGACAATGAGGTAAGCTTCCAAAGGTCGGGTTCTCTTTTAACCCCTGTATGGAGAATGGGGTGGGACCTCCCACTCCCTTAATGAACTAGACTTTGGGACTTGCCTGCTCTGCCAAGCAGATGCTGAGCCCACATATTCAAGCTACTGCAAGGAGTAGATTACAGGCCTGCTTCTAGAAGGCTGGTAGAGTGGACGCAGCAGGAGAATGGAGACCATCCTGCTTGGAGGTGGTGGCAGTGGGCAGTGAGGGACGATTCCCCGCGCAGGTGGCCTATCACAGAAGTCCAGGGGGACAGAGAGCAGGAGCCTGCCCTGCTCTGATCAGACCAAGGAGGACAGGCACTGACTGCATCACAGTGCCCCTGACTCAGTGACCCCTCCTGGCAAATGTGGACCTCACCCATCTCATCAGCGACTCCTCCTCTCCAAGAGGAGAGAAATGGAAAGTTCCATGCCAATCCTCCCCTTTTGTGGACCGGGGCAGGCAAGTCTCTCCTCGACAGAAAGGTGGAGAAGAGAAAAGGAGGATTGCCCTCAAGGGTACTGAACTGCGGTAGCCAGCTTAACCAGATGTCTAGCATAATTGTCCTTTTCCGCCCTCGGTGATGTTTCTGATTATTCCCTCCCCTTGTATCTTGAGCTTTGCTATCATTTAAGTGAATTTATTTTTTGATTTTAAGCAGCCTAAATTTTGGTATTACATTATATACAAGTAAATAACATGTGCTGGACACAGTCAACAGATCAAAACAGGTCCCGGGTGAGGCCTTAAAAGCTAGAGTCAGTAAGAACTCCAGTTATCAGGCATGATTTTCTATGGGCATCCAGGCTTGAGTTGTGTTTGACTGGGTGTAAGAGTCATGACTTCAAAGGCAGTGCTGGGGGTGAGAATAATCATGAGTCAATATGAACAATTGTCATTCCTTTAGCCCAGTGGTCGGCAAACTGCGGCTCGGCAAACCACGGCTCATGAACCACATGCGGCTCTTTGGCCCCTTGAGTGTGGCTCTTCCACAAAATACCGACTTCTGCGCATGGGCCACGAAGTTTCAATTGCACTGTACGTGCGCACCCACACGTGGTATTTTGTGGAAGAGCCACACTCAAGGGGTCAAAGAGCCGCATGTGGCTCGCGAGCCGTGGTTTGCGTAATCCTCACACCAACCCTACGGAGTAGGTACTATTATCGCCTCCATTTTATCCATGAGAAATGAGGCTCAGAGAGGTCGAATGGTGGGTCTAGAACTCCCATCCAGGTCTTCTGGCTCCAAATACCATACCCCCTGTCCTGTACTGTTCGAGCTGAGGAGACCCACGTGACTCTAGAGCAGGGGTCCTCAAACTTTTTAAACAGGGGGCCAGTTCACTGTCCCTCAGACCGTTGGAGGGCCGGACTATAGTTTAAAAAAAAACTATGAACAAATTCCTATGCACACTGCACATATCTTATTTTGAAGAAAAAAAACAAAATGGAAACAAATACAATATTTGTATTTGCATGTGGCCCCGCGGGCCGTAGTTTGAGGACCCCTGCTCTAGAGAGCGTGGGAAACTGTGGTGTTGAGTTAAGCCTGAACCCGATGAGGAGGTCCCTGACAGCCAAGCAGTACAAATTTAATGCAGAAGAAACTGAGAGCCATCGAAGGCTTTTGGGCAGGAGTGTCATGATCCAGATGGTGAGATCCATCCATCTGATAATAGTGTGCAGAGGTTGGGGAGGTGAGAAGGAGGGAGCATAGGAGTAGAGATGCTCAGAAGGTGGAGTCTGGAGGAAACCTGGTCTCCAGGTTACATTGTTAGTACCCACGATATTATTGGCTTTTTCTTGGGATTTATCATGATGCCCCAAATTGGAATTAGACACAATTGATACATTCTGTCCCTCTCATTCCCTATCTTTATTAATGAGCCAGTATCCCGGATGTTTTCTCCATGTGGTTTTGTTGTTTTTTTCTCAGCATTTCTGCACTACCTCACCTCAGGACCCTCTCTATAAGCAAAATTGTGATTAAAATAATGCCCTAACATGACGATGAGTTGGGAGAAACGTTGACTTATTATAGTTAATGAATAGTTACTGAGAACCAACTACGTGCTGTTGGGGGGCAGGACTGGGAGAGAGGGTATGGGGGAGGGAGAGGTTATGCAAAACTGGCTGCTTCTCACCCTGGGAGGGAGAGGATTAGGTGTGGATCCACCCTGCAGGGTATGTCCCACTCTGAGGTTTGCTTTGCTGTGTGATCAAAGGGTGTCTCAGAGAGGCCAACAGGCCCAGCCTCAGAGGTTAAACCGCTCCTTCTGCTCTGCCGTGGCCGCCCCCGAAACTGGCTGCCCCAGAGGAGGGAGTGGGAGTCTGTCTCCTCCCCTCCTCCACCCCTTATCTGCTCCCCTGGGGCTGCACTGGAGCACCCCACCCTCCAAGGGGAAGTCTGTGCTGTGAGGTGCAAGAGGGCATCTGAGTCCAGCAACACTGACTCGCCGTGTGCCCTTGGGCAAGTTATTTCTTGTCTTTGGTTCCTTCCTCTTTCAGAATCGGAGCAGTTCCTTGTAGCTCTGAAGATCTGAGGGTGATTACTGCAGAATTGCATGGTGTGTGTGTGTGTGTGTGTGTGTGTGTGTGTGTGTGTGTGTGACTTGCTGTTTAATAGGGTGCTAAGACAGCAGGGGAGTCGTCCTTCCCGCCCCCCCCGCCCTCCCCTCAACCGCACACGTGTGGCTCTCATTACTGTCAGGAGGCCTTAAGTCGGCCACATGGAGATGAGAACAGACCCCTTAATTAGGCACTGTTCCCAGAGCGAGAGAGGGACCAGCCTGGGCCTGGCTGCCCTGGCCTCATGGGGAGCCCAGCCTGCAGGGCTGGAGGGGGGCGGGAAGGGGAGGCTGCGGCTGGGGCATCTGAAGGACTCAGCAGGTTTACACTTCACTGACCCGATGGATGAATGGGGCCCTGTCCACCCACATGGGAGCCTGGAATCTTCAATTATGGCAATTACATCAACAGGTCGGAAGGGCAGTGCTTTCCACTGAAGAGGTTGAGGGATTAAAAGAAAAATCCTAAAGCCACTGTTTTATTTCTTTCTTTTAAAGGGATTGGGTTGATGGGAGAAGACCCCCATCTGCAGTCTAATTGGGCTGTGGGTAGAAAACAAAGATGTGCCATGTTTGGGGGGTAAAATCTGGCTGGCATGTGCTCACCAGCCTCTGGAC